TGCTGCAAAAGGAAAAAAAAAAACAACCTGTCATGACTATAAAACACTCTGTCAGATGTCGGTTGTTTTTCGCATAGATGAGCTTGGTCTTCATCTTTTTCTCTTTCGATATGGAAATTCAAAACAATTTTACACTCTGTCCTTTACGATGTGGAGTTCCAGATGTGGCGTTAAATCGGAAGTTCCTTCGAGGAATCGCGAAAGAGACTTCAAGTCTTCTTCGAATTCTTACTTTCAAAATTGTTTCGTTTGGTTAATTTTCTTTGAGGGTGCTTTGACAAAGATGCCAAAAAATGACTTATCGAATTTTTTTTTGTTATGGCACATCAAAACTGCAAAAAAACAACTTCCTCAACTCCAAACCCACCACTGAACTTAAAAAATGAAGGTGTTTTGCAAGTCAACTTGGAACCTTGGATTCAAGCTGTTAAAGATTGCGAATATTGGGTTTGTTCACAGCTTCGACCTTCTAAAGCTGCAAAAAGCCCGCTAAAAGAAGCTTGACAAACTAAAAAACCAAAAAAGATTGCAGTGGAAAGAAAACAACTTTGGAGACTCACAGCTGATAAAATCGCACCCTGAGTCCAGGAAGAAGGCTGGAAGTCAAAGATTTGTGATTGTTTGGTTCAGAGTCTTCTGGGACCAGCTGTGATCATGCGGTGTTTTGTGTTGTTGAGAAAAGTGTGCATTTCGATGGAAGCTTGCTAGAAGCCTTCATCTGTTGACGGTTCCTGCTCAGGGTGGTTTTGGAAAGTGCTTGCCCGTCGCACCTTTCGCTCAAGCACTCACCATGCAACAATAGCTTAGAAACTTTTTCGAGCTTTTGCTGGCTTACATTGCTTGCATTTGCACTAGTTTTCTCCAGCAGACGGACCAGCCCAACCTAACCAGAAAAAAAAACGTTGTAGTGTCTGACAAGTTATGCTGCTATCTGGAACTTGGCAAGCAACTTAAAAGCTGAAAAAACTTCCAAGAGCTGTGGATTTCTAATGCAACCGCATGGCTTCGCACCTGCCAACTGTCCTTCTCAACTTGTGGTTTGCAAGTTTTGTATGCTTTGGATTTCGCTTTGCTTTGCTCAGAAGTGAGTGCTAAGCTGCTCCTGTGCATCTCCAGCTCGGCTGGAGCTGGTGGTGGCCCCCTTGAGGATCCGCCTTCACCACACGTGGGGCCACTGCTTCGGCGGGGACATTTTCAGCAAATCAAAGCTGGCCAGGGCCAGTTGACGCATGGTCGTGTCAGCAGTTAGCAGCACACAGCTACCAATGTGGGAACGTGACCTGGCCACCAGTCCACCATAAAGAGTGAGGGAAACCGATGATGAGAGCTTCGCTGCACCATCGGAACAATTGCTTGCTTCGCTTCAGGCTCCTTATGATAACTTTGCTCAGGCCCTTCCGGTGCAGCTAGAACAGGATCTACACTGATGACCGGTCTACAGAATAAACCACTGCCCGTAACAAGTTCCGCAGACGTGGAGCCACTCATTGGAAGGTCACATGCATTGCGGATGACGAGGACCAGCTTCCCTCAGCTTATACTTTCGAGATCCACTCGGCCAGCCCTCTTCAGCATGGTTGCTTTGCTACACCGAGAAGACCAAAACCCTTGCCACTCATCGCTGACTTTCCGCTTACTTTCAGAGGGTCCCAGGCTTCGATGACGACATCTCTTGAAACCACACCTTGCCTTGAGGCGGGAAGGTGCTGAAGGCTGCCAGCTTTGAAGGCAACTAGCAGGATCCGAGAGCGGCTTTGCTGCAGAAATTGATCGATCTCGAAGCTGGACTCTGTGAGGCCGCTTTTGAGCGATGGGTAAAGACAGATCGCCGTTGAGTCACGTCAAAGCCAAGCGGGGTGGTGGACAACAGCATCTGCAACACTTTGTAAAAAATTGCACAATTCAGCCTTCCTTACTTGCAAGACATTCAGGCCTCCTGCCACTTAGGGAAGACAACGAATCTGTCTCAGGTTTCAGCCTAGATGTCAAGGCGCTTACAAGACATTGCGAGTGCGCAAACAAGACAGAGGCTTGCTGGGACACGCCAGCAAGACCGCTTGTTTTTCTACAAGGTTTGTCCGTTTGGAGCCACTTTTTCATCCCACAGGCTTCATTTGGCTGGCGCATGTGATGATGCTGTATGTCGACGATTTGCTGTTGTACCAAAACGCCCAAATACTTCCGCTTTCAGCCTGTCTAGTGCTCGCCTTTTGCTCATGTTTTCAATCCCGCTTAGCTGGAAGAAGCTTCAAATGGGGCCAGTCATTACCTGGATAGGGTTGCAGCTGAACCTGGGCACGGCTTGTTGCACCCTTCCCCACGACAAACGGCTGAAGTTACAATCCCAGGTTCCCGAATGCCTCGGCCACCGCTTGGTTTCCAGAAAACAATTAGACAAGCTCTTGGGTCTCCTTCAATGGATTCTTCACGACTTCCCGGCATTGCGACCGTGGCTCTGCACTCTGTACGACGACATGCATAGACCTCTGGGTACAAACGTCAGTATATCCCCCACTACGTGGCCTTGCATTGCAAACCACTTGAATGAGAAGATGGTTTTTACATCTTCGCCTCCAGGCTTATCGATACAGCCGGAATGCACTCTGTTGTCAGCGAGGCACATCAACTTGCAGTGCCCCGCAGACCTGCGCAAGGTGCCGGTCAGCTCCAAGCGTCTCTGGATGAGGATCTCGGACCCCTCGTCGTCTGGACGCAAACTGAGCAATGCCAGCAGGGAGACATTGGAATTCTTTCTTTACCTCAGCTCCAGGGAATGGCGACCACGGCCACTTTGGCCGCCGCCACTGGCTTCGGTGGAGTCAGCGGCTGACGCTTTTGGCAAGGGCGATCAATGTGGTGTTGGCAGCTGGCTCAAGCTTGCAGGGGGTCAGTCAGCTTGGTTCTCCCACCGCTACACAGTCTCGGATTTCACCAGCTTGGGATTACCCATGCAGTCCAACGCCAATTTGGACATATCCAGCTACGAGACCCTTGCCCAATGCTTTGTCTTGATCTGTTTCTGGAAGCTTTCAGGCAGTGGTCGCTTGGCAGTGAGTCTACCCGCTTTAAGTGATAATACAGGGGCCGAATCAGTTTGCAACCGCCTTTACACTTCTAAAGTCCCGCTTAATCTTTTTGTCAAGAAGCTATCCATGTGGAGCTCCATGACGGGTATACAGTTGGAATGCAGTCACATCTCTGGCGAGAAGAATGACGACGCTGATCTGCTCTCTCGCTGGGATGGTCAAAGCGAGCTCCCTGATCGCTTTTTGCCGAAGAGTCGTGTACATATTTCGCTTTCAGATTTTTGGGATATCCGCTTTGCGGTAACGCTGCATCCGGAAGATGCTTTTCTGAAGTGGCGGCTCCCGGAGCCACACCAATTGGGCCCCTCCAACCGGGGATCCAGTCAGCGCCGCTAACATTTTACCGCTTTCAGGAAGCGTGCGCTCAACCTCACTTTCTTTTCTCGGGCTTTCTAGGCGAGGTTTCGGCTTGCCAGTTTCCAACCAGGGCTTTTGCTAACGACTGCACAGCAGCTTGCTTTCCGACCCGCTTTGACTGGAGGTCGAACGGGTCCTACGACTTTGAAGCTGCAGTCGTTTCCCCGGCAAGCCGAAACAAAAGAAGCTGAGCGAGTAAACTGCGTTTGTTCCGCTTTGTTAGACTGCCTCTACTTTCTCGGTAACTCGCTTAGCCTACAAGCTCGAAAGCCGTAGCCTTTGTTGTTGCGTGGTGTAAAAATTTCCTGAACGGTTCCTGTGTTTACTCAGGGTGGTTTTGGAAAGTGCTTGCCCGTCGCACCGCTTTCGCTCAAGCACTCACCATGCAACAACAGCTTAGCTTGCTGCTAAGAAGCTTTTTCGACCCACCCGCCCTCACCTTGGGCTTTGGGCTTTCTCTACACCTGCTTCATGTATGCTGTAGCTTATGCTAAGCTTCAGCATAGGTGCGGTCGCGGTAGGGGGGTGAGGAAAGGCTGGCCCGCTCTTTTCCAGCTACGCCTATGTGTTTTTCGCTTGCTTGGCAGCTCCCACCCGCCGCCCTCACCATTTTCCGCACAGGCATCTCCGCTTTCAGGCTGTGCTACGCTAATTGCTTCAACATCTTTTGATTATCGCATTCGTTTTGCACGCTGTTGCTTCATACTGCTGTACGATACGGGCTTTTGCTAACGACTGCACAGCAGCTTGCTTTCCACCCGCTTTGACTGGAGGTCGAACGGGTCCTACGACTTTGAAGCTGCAGTCGTTTCCCCGGCAAGCCGAAACAAAAGAAGCTGAGCGAGTAAACTGCGTTTGTTCCGCTTTGTTAGACTGCCTCTACTTTCTCGGTAACTCGCTTAGCCTACAAGCTCGAAAGCCGTAGCCTTTGTTGTTGCGTGGTGTAACACTTTCCTGAACATAAGAAAACTGGTTTATGGATAAAGGCTTCATTACCGCAGTATTTACAAGTACGTTGATTGTGGCTTGTTGCTTCTTGCGGTACGTGGCATATGACACATGTGTCGGAGCCTTTGCCTTGTTTCATTTGCCAGCGATCCTGCACAGCCAACGGTTGAAGTTTTTTTGAGAGTTGCGGCGGGTGGTCGGTTATCATACCTGCAGTTCGTTAGCTTCAGTAGAATCAACAGGTATGCCTGCTGGTCAGCTGGTCTACGGCTGAGGATACGATCGATATTAGACCGCCATGTGATTTTAGGATCAGCACATGTGCTGCACTGCGAGCATCTCACGAAACAAACATCGTTCTAGTGGGGAAAAGAAATTATACTGCACGACACACCAAGGAAACGTGTTGTTTTCGTGTTTTGCAACTGTTTCGAACCTGTACTTGGCACAAAATCACATCATCAGAACTTCCCACAGTGTGGCCTTGATGTTCAGTTGAACTTGCCAGACGATGTCAGGACTTGGTGTGTTCAGTGATCAGTTGGCCCATTCGCCGTTTGTGCAAAGCCAGAACTTTCTGTATGCAGCCAAGCAGTTGATGTGCCTGGGATGGCCTCAATTGCTCTGGGCTCAGTCGAACGCGCGGATTGTTAAGAAATGTGTGATCGACATTTGTTAGATTTTTTCGCGACCTGTTCCCACCGAGGATCCAGCGACCCGTGACAAGATCTTGCAAGATCCGCAGGTGTTGGATGGTATATGCGTAGAAATCAATGCACCTTGCTCCAGAGCACAGACCTGCGAGATCCTTCTTGGCACATTCACTATGGAACCAGAGGATTCAGTAATCTGTCCCTTCGACCGTTCGTCTTTGAGAATGTGAAACGGTGCAGTCACGAAGTCACGACGGAAAGCCGGTGAAACCATGGAATGTTGTAGCGCACACACACATGGCAGGTGCAAAGTGCCGTCAAGAAGGCTGGCCAGGACTCGGTCCTTTGCACTTGTATTTGCAGGGTCTCGACTCGTCGGTCATGACTTCAATAATCCAAGTGTTGACATTGCAGGATGCGCTGAGCGATCCTGCTGTGCAAGCTCAGATCTTAAAGGTCGCTCAGGAGAAATTCCCAGAGGCTGGCATGTCAGAGCTGATTTGTACGACGTTTGCTGATGCACATTGCATTCAGAAGGCCGCAAGTGCAGCGAAAGATAAAGTCCTCGAGTGGGCCAACGATCCAGAGGTGCATCACCCCTCCGCCAATGCATGTCATGCAAAAGCGCATTGTGCAGGTGCAGAAGCAAGCATACGCGTATGCGGGACTGGCAGCTGAGTATGCTTGGCAATCCGTCAGTCAGGCACGATACCGTCCCACTCAGCATGGTTCTTTGTTGTGACCAACCTTGTGAGTGCGAGGTGGGTGGTCTCATCGAGCAGGGACCGACCGGAGTACGGGCATGGGTCCTGGGTTTGTGAATTTCTGGTTGCACCAAGCAGTGCGTCGGCGCTATGGCACTTTCAAAAGCCATAATTTTTACATCATGTGGCACATGCTACAAGAACAGGTGCTTGCCTTCGTTGGTGGAGCCGGTGCATTCGCACAGAGTATCTGGGTTTTACTTGGTGCGTGGCGCTAAGCTTGAAGCAGCACAGGAGCTTCTGTTTTGTCGCATGGTGGATCTGTGCAGCCAAACTTGTAACCTTGGCATGCAGAAGCTGAACACACGTGGTTCATTTCAAGCGCACTGCCAACCACCGAGTTGATAAACATCGCGTCTGCGTCAACTCAGCCCGACTCCCAGTTCCGTCCAGACTTCGACGTCCGTGCTGGCCATTGTTGCTTCTGAAGGTCCTACCATAGCCGATAGACCCGGCAGCAGCGTGCTAGGAATGCCTGCAAGACCATATCGGAATTCATGAACTTGAACCCTACGCAATGCTTGGATCCATGACTGCTTGTTTTGCCCTGGGGTGGATGTGCAGGTTAACATTGTTTGCGATCTTAATGCGATCCTTTAACCTGCCCCTATACCTACCCTCATGTATGTGCACAAGCCGATACGACCTGGGATAGGCGTTGAGAGCAATTCCTTGCTGTTGAGCTTAATTCAAGATCAAAGGCTTGCAATAACAGGCTCCAAAAGAAACGGTGAACAGATTGGGCATCAGATCAAACAGTCTGCACGAGGATCACGAAAGCACGAGGTAAGGGATTGTCAGGGGCCCACAGCTTGCTGCAAGATGTTCCGCTTCTGAATGTGACAGATGTTCCCGAGATGTTCTGCCAGGACCGTTTCCCTGTTGCGCAACCAAGAATATTCGTGCTACTACTCTTGTCTTTGCGATCCACCCTGGGAGAGAGAGAGAGAGAGGAATCAAGCATTCTTGACGGGTCCTCAGCGCAACAGGCTCTAGAGGCAAAGAGTCAAACTGAGTCGGTGCCGTCTCCGGGGCCCGGGGCCTGGAAGCTTCATGAAACTGCAGAAAGGAGCGGTGATCGAAGCAAAAAACTGATGTCGAATGCGCCATGTAGATTCCAGGTGCATGCTTAGAAGTCGGATTGAAGCCGAGAAACTGACGCAGAGACGTAGGAGTCGCAATTGGATAGGACGTCGGAATTGGACCTTTACCATGACTACACGCCCGGCTACAAATCCGAAAAGAATTCTCCAGGAGGTAGGTCAGCTGATCTCAGGAAGCTCGCGACGATGAATCTGAGATGCTTCCGCTTTTCTCACCAGGCTGTACATTGATGGAGCATATGCCTTGCCAGCACTATAGGCTCCACACACTCACACTCGGTACTTCTTTTAAGGTCCGCCGGTTCTCACTCCTCTCAAACCTTTCAACTTGCCTTCTTGCCCGCCACCGTCTCAGTGTGGACTTTTGATGTACCGTCGTTTAGGGCTGGTTTTGCTTTAGGGTTACGGGTTCACAGCTTGTCTTTTTTTTGTAGGTTGCAGACTTTCAGAACTGGGCATGTGACGAAAATTTTCAACTCAAAACCCCAAGTGCAGGAAGGAATCGAGCTTAGCCAGGGGCTTGAGATAGGTTCAAGGCTACGGACGCGCTATGGGAGTGCTTTGGGCCCCCAAGTTCCTTGTTACACATTCCGAAAAGCTGTCTGGACAGGCCATCACTGTGCAAGTGTGCAGAATACCATGACAGTGCGACGACTTGGATCCCGATATCCATATCAAGCACGTTTTTCCGGATCGGTCCGGCATGCAGACCCCGTAAACTCGAAGATTCGTAGCTGCCTAAACACAGAACAGCGGTGGAAGAGACGCTTGATGCACACGTTGAAACCCGACTCGTTAGAAAGGCACCACAGGCAAATCGGATTTTTGCCTTTTCCACATCTACACAGCAGGCTGTGCTTCGTCAACACTGGCTGATCATGTTATGGTACTGTATCTGTTTCTTCAAGTTCATTTTTTCTCTGCTTCGGTGTTGCAAGTTGGATTTCTAGGACGAATAACGATGCGGGTGCTTCTTTCGCTTTGCTGTAAGATGCGACCCGAGCAAGCACACGAAAGGAACACGGATAATGGTTGTATTAATGCCTTGTCGATAGGCATGAACATGCCTTGTCGACAGGCGTGAACATCGGTAGGCGGGCATCAGCAGTGAGTCTAAATCGTCCAGTCGGTGTGTGCTGGGGAATGCAGAGAATGTCAGACTCAGAGGTGCTGTTTCTTGTAACGAGACTGGTCCAATCGTAGTCTTGCGGATAAGACAAGCTCATGTAGGCCTTGTGAAACAGCCTTAGACCGATGAGTCCAAGGCTACCCAAGTACGTGGTGCATGGCTACCAGGCGAAGCCATGCTGTATTCCTCATGCGGTTTGTGGAGCTCCCGTGAACATTCACACATGACCACAAGTCGTTTGTGTTTGTCGCTGTCTGCTGGCCTCGCCTTCCATCCAGCTCATCTTCGCCTCCACCACGATGCTCTTCGAGGCATCGTCGCACGCATTTTGTACTGCAAAGTTTCTGAGCCAATGGCACTCTGCGTGCCCAGACGGAACGATGTGTTGGGGGCCCTGTGCCAGGCAAAACCCGAGTGGATCCAGAAAGTTCCTGGTTTGAACAGCTACCAGGATCTCCTGATTGACAAGGCCTTGAAGCATGGGTACGTGCTAGGCGACTTATGACTCTTTGTGAGTGTGTTGGTTTCGAGAGCAGCTCAGCATGAGCATGGGTCCATTGCCGTGGTTTGCCTGTCGTAAAGACGGCTTCCATTATCTTGGTAACAGAAAAACGTGCAGTGTCTGGCTAGGCAAAGTTCCTGGCCGAAACTTATGGCAGAGGCCGGACGGATTGTTGCACCTTCCGGCACAATCCGCTAGGATCCTGCAACCCTGCTTCTTTTGGTTGGACTGGTAGGAAAGCCGCATTGGGGCTTGGGTGTCAGGCCTCTTCTATGGCTTCCAAGGTTCCTGCCCCAGGGGGTGTCTTGAGAAAAGCTGCGAAAGACGACGCCAGCTCTGAGGATGCCTCTGTCAGAGGTACTTTGTTCCTTTGCTTCGCCAGTTTCACAAACCTTCCTGAACTCGCGTCTGATCCTCAGTGTTTTGACCCTTTGACCCGCTCCAGCTCTGCAGTGCAGTTTGCTTTTGGCTTGTTGTGGAAGCTGTTGATCGAGCCTCTCTGAGGCTTGGACTTTGGTTCCTTTTCATGGCCTTTCTCCACATTGCTATGCATTTCGGCATCATGTGCTAGCCCGAGTTCTCTGGCGCGAGTGCCTCGAGATAAAGTCTTATGATGAGCTGGGTGTGCCATTCTTTGCCTGTCTATCGCAGTTCTCATCAGAAGCTGGGCAGTGATAACCCATATCGAAGGTCATCTCGTTCCATGCTGTTTGGAGTGGCCCAAGATCGTTTGTCTCTGATGCAGTATGCAGTTGATTTTGACCGGCGGTCACTATGTGGTTCTGGCGAAGCATGCTTCTTCGTGCAATCTTCCATGAACGCCCCCTGCTGTGTGCACACCATCACAGACATATTGCATGCGCTTTGCATGTTGAGTGTTGTGCACACGATCGGCCCAGTGGCAGAGTTACTGTTGTCCAAATCCTCCTCAGGCATAGCCATAGCGACTTCGTGTATAGTCTCGATTTTCCTGTGACAAGGCCCCAGGAAGTGGCCAAGAAGATGCAGGAAGTCGACAGCTTGGTTGAAATATGCCCGCGCTTGGTGGGATGGGAAGGTGCTGGCTTCCAGCTCCCCACAGAGGCTCTTCGGAAAGGAGCTCATTCCACGTTTCTAAGGTCAGGCAGATGGTCGCCACGGGAGCCGCTTCGGCAGTGAAAGCAGTCTCCTCGGAAGGCCCGCAGAAGGACTGGGCCGAGGGCGAAAGCTTGCAATGTTTCACGCAAGATTTGGAAGTTTAGCTACCGTATGTAAACAATGGCTCGGGACTGTCGAGATTACGCGATGGATTTGTCGTCCACTTGGGGCTTGCGCTTTATGATGCTTGCTAGTGGCAGACGCTTCATGAGTTGCGATGCGCTGACTGCAACTGAAGGACTCCTCAAAAGTGGAGAAGCCCCTGGCGCAGGCACGGTGCACGGTGGGATGTGGGAGTTACTTCGCAATGCCGTCGTTTCTACGATGTTTTCAGCTTCACTGAATGCCAGGGTGGCGCGGTCCCAGACGAGGACCCTTTGATGCAGCGGCTATGCACGGGGGAAGCTAAAATTTCCGTGCCCAGGAGCGTCCGGCAGAGAGAGAGGCCAAGGTCTGGGCGGGCAGGGCGGGCCGTTCCCAGACAGTGGAGTAGAGGTGTGGTCGGTGTTGTGTTGTTTCGGCTCTTTGGGGAAAGTCTTCAGTAGACATCAATGATCCTGTTCCAATCCAGGAACTGTGAGGACAATTCATAACATTTGTGCTGGAAGCTCAGGGGAAACATCGTTGCTGGAAGCTCAGGTCATGCTTTCTAGGTCGCATGGTGACTGTTACCAGCATCCCCCCGTCACTACCACTTCCAGCGCTGTCCCAGCGCTCACTGCGACCGCCACGATGACAGGAACCTCGCAGCCACCAGCACCACAGGCACCGTTCAACGCCAACAACATCATCACGGGTGACCTGCACATCAGGGCTCCGGCTTGACATCAGCTTAAACCTGTTCGCCCATTCCAACACAAAGACTCTGACTGCGTCGACTGCAACTGACCCGGTGCTTCAGCCAGGAACCGCTCCTACAGGACCCCGGGCCGGTGTTATTGCAATCAGCACCCTCAGCGTGCCAGAGAGGGAGATTCACATGGAACATGTTTTGAAGAAGATTCCCAGCTTATTCGCACTTGAGGAGAAAGGGGGCACCACACCTGCAAGTGCAGCGTGCCGGCCCCAGCATCTGAGGCTCAGCTTATGTTCTTGATATGCAACTATCCGATGTAAGGCAGTCACAAGCAAAGCCAGCAGGCCGGCTGCGCACCCGTAAAGCAGCATGTGCATGTTGTGACCATCTTCGGGATGCTTCAGGGTTTTATTGTTGACTCGGCAAAGGATGACATGTGCATGCCACATGGCAGTTCACACCTGTGGTGCATGTTCCCACCGCGTGAAGGCAAAGGTGGTTGCTGCTGCGTCCAGTGACGGATGTTCTCGGCATCGTCTCTTTGCGCTGCCATTCATTGTTCTCGTAGAAGTTTGCTGTGCTGCTTGACGGTCATCTTGCAAGCAAGACCAGAACCTGAATCAGAGATTTTTCGACACTTGAGCAGCATGTGGTGGATGGTCCTGCCCTACGACACAAGGAGCACGACGGGCTGCGCCTCCTGCAACAGCTTTGTAGACTTAATCTCGCATCGAGCATGCCGTGCTAACTTTCAACCTTGCAAAAGGGGCCTGTAGTCAGAGACCATGTCTTGGAGCTGCCACAAAGACGGCAGATCCCAAGCTCGGTGAGAGCCTGCACTTCAGCCCTTCGACCGCTGACGGAAAATGCAGATGCAGCGGTATGCTGATGCTCGACGCGGCTCCAAGGAATACTGTCCCTTCGTTCTTCTCTCTTTAGCACATGGCAACACTTGGCTCTGCAAGAAGCATAGCTGTGCCGCCATCATGTTGTCCCGTGTGGTGAACCCAGGCCGCTCGGCTGCTGCGGCGGCCAGGCGTCTCCCCAGCGTCCGTGGGGTCACAACCACCCAGATCGGAGGCTACGAAGTCTTCGACCACTCCTACGATGCGGTTGTCATCGGTGCGGGCGGTGCAGGGCTTCGTGCGGCTGCTGGCCTAGTCGGACATGGTCTCAAGACAGCCTGCATCTCCAAGGTCTTCCCAACCCGTTCGCACACGGTGGCGGCGCAAGGTGGCATCAATGGTGCGCTGGCCAACATGACCGAGGACGACTGGCGCTGGCATGCCTATGACACTGTCAAGGGAGCCGACTGGCTCGGCGATCAGGACGCCATCCAGCACATGTGCCGACTTGCTCCTGAAGTAATTTTGGAGCTTGAATCCTTTGGTTTGCCCTTCTCCCGCACCCCAGAAGGCAAGATCTACCAGCGAGCCTTTGGTGGACAGAGCCTGAAGTTCGGGAAGGGCGGGCAGGCGTACCGATGTGCCGCAGCAGCTGACAGAACGGGCCATGCCATTCTGCATACGCTCTACGGCATGGCCCTGAAGTTTGACTGCCTGTTCTTTGTCGAGTACTTTGCGCTGGATTTGATCATGAGTGATGACGGCAAGTGTCTCGGCTGCCTTGCAATGTGCATGGAGGACGGCTCCATTCATCGCTTCGGGGCGCACTCTACCATCATCGCGACGGGTGGCTTCGGCCGCGCGTATCAGTCGTGTACTTCTGCACACACCTGCACTGGCGACGGCAGTGCAATGGCTTCGCGTGCAGGTTTGCCGATGCAGGACCTGGAGTTTGTCCAATTCCATCCCACAGGCATCTTCCCAGCCGGCTGCCTGTTGACAGAGGGCTGCCGTGGGGAGGGTGGCATCCTGCGCAACAGTGAGGGCGAGCCCTTCATGGCTCGCTATGCCCCAACGGCCAAGGACCTGGCCTCACGTGATGTTGTAAGCCGTGCCATGACCCTGGAGGTTCGCGAGGGCCGCGGTGTGGGCCCCGATAAAGATCACATCTACCTCCACTTGGACCATCTGCCACCAGAGACTTTGGCGGAGCGATTGCCAGGAATCTCCGAAACCGCCAAGATTTTTGCGGGGGTTGATGTCACGAAGGAGCCGGCACCGGTGTTGCCGACGGTGCACTACAACATGGGAGGGATTCCCACGAACTGGAAGACACAAGTTGTCCGTGATGCTGAGAACACGATCGTGCCAGGCTTGCTTGCAGCCGGCGAGGCTGGCTGCGCTTCTGTGCACGGAGCCAACCGCCTCGGGGCCAATTCCTTGCTGGACCTGGTGGTTTTCGGCCGTCAAGCGGCCGACACAACCGCCGAGCTGGTGAAGCCCAACAGCCCTCCAGTGACACTTCCCAAGAATGCCGGCGAGGCCAGCATCCAGCGAATGGACAAGATGCGCCATGCCAAGGGTCCCATCCCGACGGCAACTCTGCGCCGCGAGCTTCAGGTTGCCATGCAGAAACATGCACCTGTGTACAGAAATGCGGATGATCTGGCAAAGGGCAAGGGTGTCATCGATGAGGTCATGAAGAAGTACAAGGACGTGGGCGTCACAGATCGTAGCATGGTGTGGAACACAGATCTGATCGAAACCTTAGAGCTGGAGAACCTCATCAACCAGGCCGCGCAAGAGATCTATGCAGCCGAAGCTCGTAAGGAGTCGCGAGGTGCACATGCACACGAGAACTTCCCGGATCGCGACGACGAGAATTGGATGAAACACACTCTGTCTTGGCTAGACAAGCCTTATGTTGAGGATGCCAAGGTGGTGTTGAAGTACCGTTCGGTGATCGACCAGCCGCTGGACAAGGAGATGCACCATGTCCCGCCTGCCAAGCGTGTGTACTAAGC